TTAAGTGCACTTCTGGCATTGTTGTCTCTATAAAAATAGAAAGCAATTTCCGCTTTCATACAGTCTATGGTCTATACACATATTAACAATTATAAATCAAAGCTTTAAATCAGTTGGTGTGTACTTTTTGTCCACTTAGAAACTTGAGCATTCAGGAGATACTTTCATTTGAACATTCTGTTGCTATAGCAACCCCTGCTGGTTACATCCACCTTGAGTTCTGTGGCAATGCAAATATATTTCTATATACCAATATCTATATGTTGTTAATCTACTTCCCAGATGTCTTTGTTGAGTCATTATCTGTTGTGCACTTTTTATTGTATCTCATTATTGGTTACCGGTCAGTTTAAGTGAGGCTTAAGTGGTTACTGCCGGACTTTTAATGTTGCAATAACAAACAGTTACTCTGAATTATTTGTTACATCATGTTGTACCATGAATCACTTACCTGCCCTAATACCCTGAGACCTTTTAAAATGCCCTGTTACCTGATACTTTATTGTCTGTTTTTTTTATTCCGAATGGTTTTTCTTCAAACTAAAAGTTAAACCTGCCTGTTTAAATGTAACTCATGTAATGAAATTTTCATAGACGAAAAAAAGACCAGTTTTCATTTTGGGGCAATAGGGACCCCATGTGGAAAGGATCTGCCATCATAATTCAAATGAGCCTATGTTCTAATAATAATAAAATAGTAATTAAACTTAATTTTTATAGTACTATCAAAACAAGGTTACAAAGTGCTTTATTACATTTACATGAGTATAAAAAAAAGAACAAAAGGAGAAAAAATAGGAAAGATAACATAAAAGAAAATATTATGAACAGACTTAATCCGTACAACACACAGTATGTTGAAGGAGCCAAGAGAAATGTTGGGGCTCCTGAGGGAACTCCACGAAGATCTAATCTAATCTGAAGGCAAGTTATAGCAGACTGTGGAGACCAGAGGAGGCACTGCATAGTGGTCCACAGATAAAAGCAGTTTTATATCAGAGTGCCAGATGCTGTGGGAATATTCATGTGAAATGGAGCAAGGATATGATGATTGCCATATGAATAAGAATCACAAATGTGTTGACTAATGAGGAAACTGCCGGATGATATTTAAATCTTTACTCAGGAAAATCTGATGTTGAATCTGAATCTGAAGAAGCAGAAGACGAAGACGAAGAAAAAGAAGAAGAACAGAGAGCTTGGTTTCCACCCCCGGTGGGCCGAGCAAAGAAGGTGTAGAAAAAGAAGACACAGCAGATGGCAGTAATGCACCTTGATGTTGGTTGCCACCTACCAATAAACCAAACAAAGAAGAGGAGGAATCTGAAAGAATCACTGATGGAGCCAATGTGAAATGCCAAGCAGCTGTTTCTGCAGTGCAATGACGAAATGCTCAAAAGGTCTCATACACTGATGGTGGCAATTCCCCATCTGTTACTAAGATTGTGCAGAAGACAAATATTTGTTCACTATTTCCTCTGCAGAGGAGGTTGTTTTCATCAGTTTGTTTGTGAGCCCATCACCATCACATTTGGTGAAGATCCAAATCCAGATGTTGTGGTTTCATAAGGGGACAGTTGGGCCTTGATGGGGGTATGCACTCTACTGAGTGCCATTCTAGTTTTATACTTTATTTATTTAAAAAAAAGATGGTTTATATAAGGAAATTATTTGGAAGTGTAACATTTACTTTTACAAAGTAAGATTCAAAGTGCTCACACATTTCTCAAACTGTGACAAGACATCTGGTATTTCGGTCTGCAAATGTTTTCAGTATTTACAGCAATATCAGTCTTAGCTTGATTAGGCAATTACTACTCTGATACATGAACACATCTTAAAGCTCTATTACAATCTAAAAGCTAAGAAATTTGGACCCTGACCCCAAGACAAACCTTGGTTTGTTAAATAAAAAAGCAAGACCAGTGTGGATTTGTCCCCACAAAGCAGTTCTGACATGGTGTATAATAAGGGATAAAAATAGCTACAGAACAAATAACTCCATTGTAGCACTAATATCTATTCTTGTCATTTTCTCGGTTACAATAAAACATCTTGTACAACCACAACAGTCTTGCCACCACTCATTCATTCATTAATGAAAGCTTTCTGTGTCACTAGTGGAAAAGAACCAGCACAATCCAATTAGCACAATTAAAGGGACGCACTGAAAAAAAACTGGGACTATGTGTAACATCCTCTGGGATTAGAGACCGTCTGACCCCATGTGACCTGGGTCATGGCGAGCTGTCCTAGGGGCTGACAACGGCGCACATCACAGATAGCAGCACTAATTGATGTTTTTGTAAGTTTGATGGATAGAAATGCCCCTTAGTTGTGTCATTAAAGTTTTCACATGGCATTTTAGTAGAGTAACAGTCTCACCATGCAGCACTGAGGACAACAGGGTGTCAAATCTCACATGGTTGTTGAAATCAACAAGACAAATTAGTTTTTTCCTCTCACACTGAACACTGGCTGTCCAAAGGGTAGATTAAATAAGCACTGCTGATTAATTAAACCTAAAGAATGTGGTTTGTAATAAGTCTGCAAGTAATTCAAACTTAAACAATAAGAGTTAAAGTCTGTCATGACAACAATGTCCTGTAGACAAGACGCACAGGCAAACAATGCTGGATTCAGAGAATCTCAGATTAAGTTTAATTGTGTAACTGTCCCCATACTGTTTCTTGCCTGCACACCAGTCTTGATCTTTAATAGATCCTCTTATATCATCTAATGGCACATGGACAGTATATGTTCTGAAAAATACTCTGGTAAATAGTCTTGGATCTAAAGTAACTAATTCTAGCAGCTCTTCTGGAATCACTGTGATCTATGGAAAATTATAAATCTAGCTGCCAAATATTAGAAGTTGTAGGTTACGTTTAAGACCTCGCAGTCTTGTTTCCTCCACCAAGGAGGTTATGTTTCATCTGCATTTGTTTATAATTTAGCAAGATTACACAAAAGGGATGGATTACCACAAAACTTGGTAGGATGTGGTATGGGTCAGGGTAGAACCCATTTAATTTGGATGCCGATCCAGAATATTTTAGAATGTTTTTCAACATTTTTGTTGATTTTTCTGAGAATAATTCATGAATGTTGATGAGAAAAATACGTCATTTTTAGGGAACTGATATTAATGAGTGCAAGGAATTAGGTGAAGCTTGGTGGAATTTGAGGGGACCATTTGGTCAGAGTGCCATTATAGTTATTTTGTGATGTTAACAAAATGGGTATTAAAGCAGTGAACCCTTTTTTATGATTGTGAGGGAAAACAAAGAGAAATATTTGCAGCATTTCTTTTTGGTATTAAATGTATTGAGTGAGAATATATGGAATGAAATGCCTTCAGCATGTCGCACAGTGTAATCAATGTTTATGCCCTTTCCTAATGACTTGTTTACAGGCCAAACTTATTGACTGTGTGCAAGCTTCTATCCCATAAGCAACTCCATTCATTCACTATGGAGCAATGACAGTGTGATCTAATGGTATTACATGAGACAGTCTAAAGGTGAAATAGATCGCCACCTTAGTCCTCTGCAGCCATGGGCTAACTATTTTAATCCCATTGAAGCAGTAGGAGACCAGGCTAGTTAAAGGGATTAGATTAGCAGCCAGGGGAGGTTATAAATGGACGTTAAGGTACGGATCAGGAGAGGAATCAGACAGGACGTAACAGATCAAGTCCTGCAACGTGTTGGTGAGGACAGAGAGATCCAGATACCTCACGCAGAGACTGTAGCAGTCATACCGAAGAGCCGACGCCTGACCCAAACCAGCTTGTAGCATTTTGTCTTCAGTTCTCTGACATCCAAGCCTCATTAATAAGCATGGAGCCTGTGGCCCAGATGGTGACTGCCTCCTCAGCCTTCGACAGAGAGACTTTGCCCAGGAGAACCCTGCGAGCGGCCCCCAGAGGAGCCTCGTCACATTTTGTGGGGAGCTCGATCATAATCCTGTCCTCGTTCGCAGTCTCCAGTTTAGCTATGAACTTTGGGAAGCGGATCCAGGAGTCCAGACACAAACCTAACGGGAACTAGCAGCAGTCGACAGATGGATATGCCGTTTATTTTTCTAGTTAACCTCCGTCAAGATTTATTTCAACAATGATGTGATGGACACCCCTTCAAAGTGGACTGCTGTTTGTGTTCCTGTAGAAGAAGGTGATGTGTGTTGTATCATATGTGACGTTTCATGTGTGTCCAATTGTTAGTCTGGCGAAAAAACTTGGAGTCATAAGAGGATGAAGCTCTCTTGGGATGAAAGAACGATCCACAACAGAAGAACAACACCGCCTGCTGTGATATCTGAGAAGACAAGCATTTTGGAAAACACCTCGAGATTGATCGATGCAACGCCAAAAAAACTCTCTTGGATTAAAACAGATTACAATTGGTGTTTAGAGAGGGGAGGACGACGCAGTGATACCATCAAACCTTTTAACTCGTACTTCTATCAGTGGTCTCAACACGTAAATAACAGAATAGAGGGTATGTAAGATCTTGAGACGTAGTTGAAAGTATCTGTTATTGGAGGCTCACTGATGATGCTACTTGTCATTAATGCACATTATATGTCAAAGGTGGTAGAACAAGGTTTAATATCAGTACATTTGTATTAGAATAATTTTTTTTTATGCCAGGCAATTTGAAAAGCACAAGTTTTACTGTCATTAACTATTTTATTTAAGAGGCTAAGAAATGAATCAATAAATTAAACCAGTGCTTTTCCTAATGTGATATGTTGGAACTTCAGCTGTGAAAAGGGTTTATGTAACATTTGCAAATGTCCGACACAAGCATTTGGTTTTGCATATGATCTGTAACGATTCATGATGGATGCTGCTTTACACCTGGTGTATTTTCTCAAGTTGCCACTAGAGGGCTGTATTGGCATTAAAGATTGGAGCTTTTCAACCATGACTAGTTGCTTGTTTGTTATTATGATGTAGAAATTAAAAAAAAAAAAGTTTGTCAGAAGGCAAATCATGACTTTTAAATGGTTTTATGTATTAAAAAAAACATACAAACAGAACAAATAAAGATGGATTGTGATTCAAGTTTGCATTTGTGATACAAACAGATGCCAGCAAAGTTTTATCCCAGTCCATGCACATCTGCAAACAACTGTTTCATTGTATATGAAGATCCCAAAATGAACTTATGATTCCCAGTGTGTACAGGGATGTCCGCTAATGTCTTCAGAGTGTGCAGAGGCTTTTCAGTCTGCGCTCAGTGAGGAAGCGGTGTGTCTGGTGGGTTGGGTTTTGGTCGTTACCTCCAGCTGAAGCACTAAAGTAGGATAACATGGACTTGTTGTGTTGTCGCTGCGCTGCCTTCTCCCCATCCTCCTCATCATCATCCCTGAGGACAGATTTAACAAAACAAGACTGATTTGTACACTGTGGTTAGAGCTCATTTCCTGGGGTCAAATGATTTGCACAGACATTAAGCGAGGAAATCCAACTGGTTGTGGTTTTCACATCTTAAACACATGGAAGCATATTTTACAGTCATGTGAATAAGTAAGTACCCTCCCTAAATCAGTTACACATAAAAAGACTTTGGACAATACTGAGTACAAAGGTTTTTACCAGTGGACAGTCACTGCTTTGCTGTCCATCAGGGTTTGGGCCGTGCTCCAGCTAAATCGAACAAACTGAGGGTAACCAAACACTGGGTCCAGGTGCTTCAGCAGCCACGCTTTAGTCTTGGGGTCTGAAATGGTAAAAAGTTGGTCTCAGTGACAGTTTAATACAAACAGTTTCAACATGCATCGATAAACAGCTGTTGTAGCCTTGTTTAGGTCGTGTTATGAATGACAGACTGGTAATAGATAAAGAGTCAAATGCTGATTTTATTCAGTATATTTGAACAGTTTTTCAAACATGGCTATCTTTATGTCTGTTACCATTTGGGTATCCTGAGCCATAATCTGTGTCCACCTCTCCCATGTCCTCTGCAAAGTTCCAGCCTTTTACAACACGATCCCTGGCAACCTGAAGAAGATCACACAACATAAGTGAAGCCAGAGAACAAATCTGAACAGATCCTAAAATATGGACTTTAATTAGGGCCACGGAAATCCATACAGTCATTATAACCATAACATTATTCACTGTTGCTCATTATTCAATCTGCACTAAACTGAAAAAAGCGGCTACGAAAGCCCCTTGCCACTCCACAATTTGCCATTAGTTGAGTGGGACAGGTTAGAGAGGAGGAATCAATCTCAATAGAAATAGGTCACTAATTTATTATCACATCTACAAACAATAAAGACTTAGGGCTTCTTAAAAGTTAAATAAAAATAAGCAGGATTTTACAGATACACTTTTTCAGACACTGGAACTTTTATTTCTGCTCATTTATGTGAATCTGTGAATCTCACCATCCGTAGTGTTGAACAACAGAGACCACTGTTCACATTGCCTCCCAGTTTCAGTGTGGATACATGAAAGTTTTACACTTAAATCGTCGTAATTTTCTTCCCTTATTTCAAAAGTGAAACAGGTGTGAAATGAACCAATCATTTTGTATGTGTCGTAACATCAACTCCTTTTAATAAAGATACATACAGAGGAAAGAGGAGATTCAAACATATGTGAGCTGTGAGGTTCAGAAAAAGGAAATAAGGAAATAAAGGTCTAGGAGACGGCAAACAGGAATATATAACAAGTGAATGAGAAAGAGGAAAGCAGATTTGATGGCCTCTTGATGATCTTCACTAACCTTTGCACAGATACTTGCAGCACTGACAATGGGGAAGAGGGAGTCAGCTTTTGGCCTAACAGTCACCTCGATACCCGGGAACCGCTGGGAGAGTTTTGCCTCATATTTATCTGCTGGGCCAACTGTGTCCACATAAACCTGCAGAACAGCACACAGAAGAAGAAGGCAGAACAGATCAGAGTGAGGAGAGAAGGAAAAAGCAAGGAGAAAAACCGATACAAGTCCTTGTGGCCCTGTGGATTAGTAAAAATCTATTTAACATTAGGATTTATTATTTACTGAGGACAATCATCAAGGCAGCCTGTAATAAGCAGTCTGGAACATTGTGAAACTGCATGAAAGGTGATTTATTGCCTTTTAATGTCCTGAATAAAGATGCAAAAAACGGCTCTATATGGCTGGAAATGCCTACATTAAAACACAAGTTGTCTATATAGACACATCAGAAAATATATAACCTACACTTTACAACATTTAATATTAGATGAACACAATTATACTCATGTAAATCACATCTTTACCTCTTTGAGCTGTACTCCACTGTCCAAGGCATACTGTACTAGACCAATCGCTGTATCATGTGAAAGAGCATTCAGGTTGTATTTTGTCCTTTAAGCAAAAGCAAAGATCAGGTTAGCGAGTGTGAATTTAAGTTAAGATAATCCTTTATTAGTCCTACAATGGGGAAATCTGCCTGTTACAGCAGGAAAAGGGATAGCAAAAATAATAACAGTAATAAATAAGTGAACATACAATATAAAGATAAGGATATATAAAAAGTAACAATAATAATTTTGACAAAGTAAAAAAGGTTGCACATAGTCACATGTGACACATGTCACCTACCTCTGTAACATGCTGGTAGAGATGGTGTTGGGGGAGAGAATCTGTAGCGCCCAGCCCACATAACTTCTGGCTTCATCCAGTTTTTGGAAAAGGTTTTCTCTTTCTGCCTCTGAGAGGGTCTTTGAATCTATCACAGGATAGCACTGATATTTTATTTACCAATATGCCAAGGAATAAATAATGCAGTATTCAGTATGCATATTGATATGCAAATGAAACCTTTAATCTACGGTCATTAACAAATACTGGTGAATGGTGAACAGGCTAAACTAATTGAAAAAATTAAGTCCTTCAGTGCACCGTCCTTTTAAAATAAACAAAGGCAGGGGAACAGGATGACCTACCTGCCACTTTCGAGTCCTTCAGCTCCTTCTTTTTGGAAACTGGACAGAAACATATTCCATACACCATGGGGCCTGGATCACAAAAACATAAAAAAACATAAGTGTGTGTGCGCCACATGCCTCAGTGTGTAGTTACAGCTACACAAAATGACAGAACATACCCAGCACAGGCCCCCTGCCTGCCTCATCAATGCCCAGACAACAGTCCTCCGTCTTGCAGACATCAGGGATCTGAGAAGCCAGCCGGCAGCTGACAGAGTTGTCTGTTTCAAAGGGGCCGAGATCCATGACTGCTGGGAGAGGAAACCACAAGCTTTGATAGAATGGAACAGAATAGAATAGAAAGCAATAACTGTCACTGTACAATGCAGTATCATGAAAGTACAGGTGTAACTTATGAAAAACAGTGCAAATGGAAAAAAAAAAAAAGCAGGTTTGCAATCCAGCAAAGACACAAACCAAGAAACACACAACCAATAAATGCCAGTCAACTAGAAGAGCGGCTACTTATTTGTTATTGCACAGATTTGATAATACACTAAAAATGAAGTGAATACACAAGTCACCATATCAGACTTATGATGAATGGGTAGAGTTTAGAGGTCTGATAGTAGAAGCTCTCACACTACCATGACCCGATCACCTGTTATTATTATTCTTTGTCACATTGTGTGGGTGGAGTCTGAGCACGTCATGTACGTGACGGTGTATTGACGTCTGAAGGTTTGTGTTTTAAATTGTGGTGTCTTCTTCCAAACTCAGCAAACCTGACATTTGAATTAAAGCGTGTTCAACACCGACACAAGGCGCCTGTCGTGTTTCCAGCTCCCTGTCGTGTCACTGCACACAGGACTGACAACACACACAAGTATTTTGTGTAGCTAGTACCCTGTGTTGTCATGTTGTAGCTAAGTGCTACACAGTGTTAATGGGGCTCGAACTACAGAGACTGGCCTTTTTCTACCATGAGGACGCAGGTGTTTGTGGTGTGCATGGTGAGTTCAGGTCGTCCCAGGTTTATATTGAGCTCGCACGTGTCATTTAAAGCCGAACTAACCAGTTTCCTACCTGAGCTGCTGGAGACGTTCTGAAGCTCCGTGTGTTTGGCGCCGCAGGAAGAGCGTCTTCTTCGTCCCATATATGAATGTAGGCGCTCTACCGCCACCACATGGTCTGGAGTCAGACCTGGAAACACACAGCTCCCCCAGACTCCGTTTTTTTTAAGTCATAAAAGATTTTTCTGTCTTTTCTGTCTTTTACTTCATTACACATAAATGATCATTACACTTTACGATGTTTAAAAATGTTGAGTAACATGATGTGTACAACCAGGAAGATTCATTTAAAGTCTTAAAAGTAAAAGTACTCAGAGCAGGAAAATGCTCCTGTGAGTGACACCTACTATTATATATTTTATCATTAACTCATTATTACTGATATGGTAGGGTTCATTTCAAATTAGTCTACTTTTCTACATTTTTTTAATTCATTATAAAAAAGTGACATTTGTCTAATAATGTTTTTTTTAAACCGACAAGTTAAAACTCAAAGGTATTAAATTAGATAGATTAAATTAGGTATTAAATTAGATAGATTAGTAAGAAAGCAGCAAATCCTCACATTTGAGAAATTTGTAAATGCTAAATCCTTGGGAGCTTTGTATGAAGAATGACTTACTTTATCAAGAACTGCAGAAAAGGACTCCATTACTTTAATAAATACTTCACCAGCAAAATTTAAAAGCATTACAATGAGAAGTAAATAGAATGAATAATGGTCTCTCTCTCGGGTGTCATACTATTATTTTTTTATTGGATTATTATTTATATTGATGCACCAATATGTTGCAGTAGGCCAACGGTCAATGCATACCTTTCTATTTAAGAAATGAAGACATAGCTCGTTGAATAAAAAGAACGATGTTTTGGAAGTGAAATAATGTGTTGTAGCATCAAATTTAAATACTTCATTGCAAATTTTATTACACAACAAAGAAGTGCAGAGTGAAAATCTACAAATGTACATCTCTGAAAAACATATTGTCATGTTGCCAAGATGGAGCTGAAACTTAAATCAGTCACAGGCAAATTTTTCACTTTTTTTTTTCACTTGTTGAAACATTTTTGATGAAAAAGATTTGTGTCTGTGGGTCACCCGCAAAATGTATACTGAATTAGTTCTGTGACTTTAAGAGCTTCGATGTTTTACATTTTTTAGCTATTAACTCTGCACTGAATGTTGTTTTATGTTTTTTCTTCCATTAATAATCTACATTTCTCCCTGCCCTGAAAATATTTCCTCTTTCCCTCACACATCTCTTACTGTGACACATCAGTGCCGCCACCATTATCTCTGTTCTACATCCCCCTCAGACACAACTAAAGCACATGAACTTGACATTTTGATTTCAGATGCCCTCTGACTTGTGTTTTAGCTATGGTTGAGTGTGGAGGCAGCCTCAGGTGGAGAGGAGGCAGAGCCATGTACAAAAGTCTGAGTGTGTGCTGGTTACTGAGCTGAAATTGGCCTTGCCTCTGGCTCTTTACACCCACCCCTTCTCTCTCGTTATGTCCCTCTGCCTCACTGAATGGCTTTCTTTGTCTTCGTCAGTAACACGCAGTCCCCAGCCGATTAAATGTGGGGAATTAGTAGTCAATTTTAGCCTACAACACACAAACACACTAAACAGCTTAGCTTTGGTGGGGCTCTGATTGTGTTGTTATTACAGTTCACACGTCAGCAACATGTTTTTAATGTTGTTTCTTTTCACCCGTCGCTTCTATCTGCACCTTGTGTTATCTCCACAACCAGCACTGAAAAATAACAAGCATAGACTGGATGTTTTCTTTTTTTTATAAATAAATTGATTTAATAAATGACAACAATAATATTTCAACATTGCTTTTCTTGTAAGGAAGCAAAAAAATACTCAAGTGAATGTATAGCAAACACTTTACAAAACTATCCAGAATTATACAAAATGGAAGAAGCAAAGGTGTGACACACGATGCATTATTACTTACATAAAAATGATAACTACAATGGTAAGAGGGTCAGTATAAAATGATAAAAGTATGCATCACTTAATAAAAGGTGAAGCTTGTGGTAATGACCATTATTCACATTGCTGAAGAGGAAGAGGGCTGTTTGTGAGGAAGCAAACATGCTTTTGGCCTACATGCAGCGCACAACGCTCGTACATGTGATTCTAATCCTTAAGTAGGTCCCAAAGCTGGCCAATTATCTCGAGAGGTTTGGCTGAGACTTATAGATTTTAACTCAGTTATTGACTCAACCAGATGTGAGTTAGCAAAAAATGTTATAGGCACTTTAAAAGCAATAATAATAATAATAATAATAATAATAATAATGAAGAGGCTGAAGTGGAGGCTTAACGTTCTGAAATTTTGAACAGCTTCAGTCAATCAGGTATCCGTGGTTGTACTCATCCTTTGCTACTGGCACAAAATTAATAGAATTGAGGTAAGTGCCCAAGACTGAGCATTAAGCTGAAATACGTCTTTAAGAGCTCTCTTTCCCTCTCGTTTTCCTATATTTTTCCCCTTAAATGCCTAATTGTTCAGTTCAGTGACGTCCATGTAAAGAAAGGACAGAGATGCAGACTGTGCTATATCTACAAAAAGAGAGAAGGTTGCAACTATATCCTTTTCTGGCCACGTACAACAAAACACCAGGGAACATCCTATTGGAACAAAGCATGCGTCTTTTTTTTCTTCCCAAAGCAGTGGTGCAGATGTGTGAGTGTCATATCAAATCAGTCACAATAAAGTTACACCCTATAGGATATCAACAATGACAATATACTTACTACTCATATAAAATAACACAATAACATCAAACACATCCTTTAGTTTGGTTAATAAAGTCTGATTACGTCAGTCTAAACCCAGCATGTCCGGGTCAAATCCGAGTCACTTGTCGACATCTGTCCTTTCTCAGTGTCTCTCTCACTCGTCTAAACTCTTGTATTCACGCTTGCTGTACATCCCAACCTATATATTCATGATGGCACACATTTGTTAAAGGTTTATTTATTTTTTGATTGGCTGTTGACCCATGACTCACACTTAATATTGTGTGAGTTTTTTTGTTTTTTTTAACGATGTAAGGCCCCGTGGATGCGTCTTGCATTATATTGGCTAAAAAAGTAAAAACCTCTAATATAACATCAATATGGCATGGACACACACACACACAGGCAATCACACACTCACATATTCACACACACAGTCACACAGATCCACTCACACGCTTCCCATATTTCCCTCTGCTCAGCTGGTCTCCCTCAAGGTCTTGTGAGTGTGGTGTAAACAGGCTGCTCCCAGTGTGTGGGGCTGTGGGAGGGGGCCACGCTGGAGGGGTCTCCTATGGTAGTGTACAGAGGCCTCTGTGTAGGGCCCATGTAGGAGAAGGCTGAGTACAGCCCTGGGGCCTGGCTGGAGTGGGCATAGTACGCCCCTGGGGCCTGATGCTCTCCGTACTCAAACTGAGCCCTAGAGGCCAGCGAGGGGAAGGCGGAGCCGTAGTGGGGGAGGCTGAGCGGTGTGTAGGTGACATGGGTGCCCGAGGAGGGAGAGGACGAGGCCTCGGCATAGTGGCTCCCAGACGCTGACTCGCTCTTGATCTGGGCCTTGGAGGGGTCGGAGGAAGATGGAGAGGCCTGAGGCTGTTGCTGCTGCTTGGACAGCCAGGCGGAGTGCCCACTAGCGGCGGCCAAGGCGTAGGCATAAGACGAGGCAGAGGAGCCGGCTGCAGGGGCCCCGGTTCCACTTTGCGGGTGGCCGTTTGGAGGGAGGTACTGGTCAAACTCATTGACATCAAATGGCTCGATGTTGGACATCACCTCATGGCTGATCTCGCCGATGTCCATGGTGCCAAAGTCGATGTGGGGTTTAGCTCCTGATGATGAGGGACCACCGGATGTACCTTCAGCTCCCACCCCGAGGGCTCCTCTAGACCCCCCTGATCCTCCGGCTGCTCCCGCTGCCCCATCCCTCTTAGCATCTGACAGTTTTCCAGACTGGAGCTCTGTCTTTGGGGTGGTGGGGGGCGTGGGTGGGCTGTGGCCTATAGGGGAGAGAGGAGAAGGGAAAACATGTTCAGGTGAACTTTGACATCAAGTTTTATATCGAGGAATTGTGGCTCAAATTCTTTCACCATTCCTCTTGAACAAACGTCTCTCGAAAGTTCAGAACATAAATCATGTGTGCAGAGTCACCTACCAGCAGGATGGTGGTGGTGGTGCAGGTCACCCAGGGGAGAACCAGCCCCGCCATTGTGCTCCAGATGCAGGGTCTTGTAGTGAGACTGGGAGTGGCTGGCCTCCCCTTCCCCCTGACTATCAGACTCACTGGTCGTTAGTTTGCCGTTTTTGCGTCTCCGGGGCTGGTACTTGTACTCCGGGTAGTCCTTCTTGTGCTGTTTCCTCAGCCTCTCCGCCTCCTCGATGAATGGCCTCTTGTCGCTCTCGTTCAGCAGCCTGGGGGGAGAAAAAAAACAACAAGGACTGATTTAGTCTTATTGGCCTTCTGGGTTAATGGAAAAGTATTTTATTTGAATATGTCTAAAAAACTGTGCAGCTATCAATCCTGTGCGTAATGGATGAATAGTGGGATGGTGAAGGACACTATATGCATCTTTGCATAAGTTTTGAGTGCACGTGTGTCAAATATCTTTAAGGACCACTACATAAAAAACACCAGGAATAACCACATTGAGATCACAAATTGCAGACTTTTACATTTAATTTCAATATATACATATTGAAGCGGGGTCCACATGTTTGAGTGTGACCCCTCAGCACATCCCTTCATTGGCCTTACGCACAGGCTGCACAGGAAATGTGCCACTGTATGGCCACACTGTTCTTGTGGGACAGCCTCTCCATACAGACCTCCACAGTTTGCCGAGGGTCTTGCTGAGCTCGGCGTTGTGCAGGTGGGGGTACTGATCGGCCAGTTTCCTCCTTGCTGCCTGCGCCCACACCATGAAGGCGTTCATGGGCCTCTTGACGTGGGGCTTTGCTTTGTTCCCGTTGTTTACGCGCACCGGCATGGGCACAAGTGTCCAGTCATATCCGTCCAGCACCTGACTCACCGCCTCTCTGATACCGATCGGGAAGCGATCGTCCTCTTCCTCCGACTTGCCTCTGGATGTGCCTCCGTCGTCCTCGCTGCCGTCCGCACCGCAGAGCGCGGCGAGCTGCTGCGGCGGCACGGTCAGAGGTGAGCCCTGGCCCGGCGGCGCTCCGGGTTGAGTCGGTGACAGTGAGTGACCGTCGTCTGACGCTCCGGGACTCAGCTCCGCCTCGGACAGGCTGTGCTCCTCGCCCGACATTATTATTATTTCTTTATTTGCAGCTAATGACAAGACAACCCTTGAATGTTAAATAATATTTAAGAAGGGGATTCAATATTTTTCGAGATATTTGGAGTCTTCGGCGATCCAGTTATTGCTGACTCTTCTCAGGCAAAGTCATACTGCTGCGTAAAAGTGTCCAAATCCTCTCCACCGTCGGCTGGAAATCCTTCTCCGCGAAAACAGCTACACCTAAAAATAAAATGCAGTGTAAGAGAATCAACTTTCGTCCAGACCACAAGTTAATTATAATTTTAGTTTTTGTTAGGAATCTATAACCTCGGTTTATTCTAAGGTAAACAGGTTGAAAGTTTAGCGGACCAAACGCGACATGTGCAGCCTCTCTAACCAATAATAATAATAATAATAATAGTAACAACAATCTTTATAATAATTGCCCAATTCTTCTAATACAAAAATAGAAAATAATCAGCCGGCTTATAAACACTGATATGAAATATCCCCTTTTATCATATGATTTTTTGGTTTTTCAGAAAAAATATTACATAACTTACCAATTTAGATGTCCAGTGGTTCAACATGGGAGTGTGTGGCCGACTGTGGAGCCGATGAATGGCTGCTCTGTGTGGCAACAGCGGAGCTTAAAGAGCGCCTTGTGAGAAGGACCGGGAGAAAAAAAAAGTGATTGAAAGTGGAAAACATTCCCAGAGAGGCAGCATTCCAGCACACCGTCCGCCCCGCCCACCCCGGCGACACGCAGCGCCGCCATTGGTCCGCTAATTATCCCCGCAGCCCCCCGATTGGACGGCACGCGGACACGCTGGCTAATGCCCGTCCCGTCCGTCATTGCGACATATCCAGCAGAGAAGAGGTGAGATTTTACCATCGGAGTGGTTTTAAATGAGTCCACAGTGCGTCCATTTAGAGGCAGGACAGGGCCAGGTCTGTTGGACGTGTTGACATGTTATATCAAACAAATAAACAATCAGGAGGAGAGTCGTTGCCTCATGTGGTCACGTTCCTGTAAAAAAAAATAAAATCAGTTGGATGCAGGAAATAAAGCTCAGAGTTTTTAGTTACACTCTTTGTCTGTTAAAGATCTAATAAAACCACCTTTTTATTAGACCTTCATTATAAAAGCAAAAGATACAAGTGCAGCAGATAAATCCTGAGCTCTAGGCCTGTGTGGGATGGGCTGAATTCAGGCCAGTGATCAATAATGCCTTTAAATGTATACTAATACTAAATTAATATGTTTAAACCAGGATTTCCCATGTTTCACACAGCTATGACTACGAAATAATCTATAAAAGCATCAAAATCCTTCCAAAAGAGATATTCTCACTACCCCACCAAACTATGCTGCAAAAAACATTTTTTATTTATTTATAAGATTTTTCTAGTCATATGTTTGATGTGTTCAAGTTTTTATTGGGCTATACATCATATTTGAATCAGAACTCACTCACTCAATAACAGAATTGATTTATCAATAATTAATCCCAATCTGATCAAGTTGTTATTTAATGAAAAAACTAAACAGTGGAAAGACATGCAGACTGGAAAAAATCAAGATGGAGACTAAAAGATAAACCGTGAGAGTCCTTCAGACCAAAGTCATGAACAAGTCACAATTTACATTATTTACATTTGGTTATGAGCATTATCTTTCAAATATTCATCTCGCATTTAATCCTTTCGTCCACGTAAAACAAGAGTGTTGCAGTCAGAGCTATATGATTGTTGTTATTATTTCATTGCGCGTAATGGTCGATTTGTTTGTAGGCCATGATCAGTGCCTGTCCTGTGAAGCATGGCCTTATGGGAAGGACACACACACACACACACACACACACACACACACACACACACACACACACACACACACACACACACACACACACACACACAGGAGAAAATGAATGCAACAATAACCCCTGTGTGTGCGCTGCCTCTCATGTCGAGGCTGGCTCTCTGCTCTCTCCCTCTCTCTCCGCTCTCTTTGCTCTCTTTGTCTCCATCTCAGGTGAATTGTAGACATGTGATCAAACGCCCAAGCCTCTATCCATTAACCCTCGTAAATGAAAAAATGGGGAACAAAAAGCAGTTTTGTGCTGCAAACATGGAAAAAATTGATAACAGAGAGAGATGTGTGCGTCTTTCTCCCCTTATGTCCAGAGCAAAGACACCAGTGGCGCACACATAGAAAACCCTCTGCGGCAGACAGGACACATGGATCTCTCTGCTGCGACACTTCTCTGTCTCCAAACACTCCGCCGCACCACCTGGATTCGGGCCTTGGATGGTAGGGGGCTGTGTTTGGGGGTTGGTGGGTTAGTGTGTGTTGGGGAGGTGTGCACCTACATGCTGCACCCCCCAAAAGCGACCCCTGGGACCCTGGCATGAGGCCTGCATGGTGAAGTGAGTGATTTTGTCTGTATTGCACCAATACGCAGGGGTCGATGCTGCTGTCTTTGAAGGAAAGTGTTTTTAAATGTGCGTGTTGTTGTGCGCTGTGTTTATTAGGTTTGTGCAGACCAGAGGGCTTTATGTGGAGGAAGCTGTGGTTTTACGGAGATGTGTTGAGTTAGCAGCTGTGGATGTGCATGGCCCCCCAGGGAGTCTGTGTGTGTGTGTCTGTGTGTGTGTGTGTGTGTATCTGTCTGTCAGACAGGGCAAGGTGCTTTTTACTGTGTGTCCATCATTATGACATTAGAATTTTCATTTAACCAAAGCATGAATGTAGTTCATATTTTTATTTTGTTTCTCTTACATCATAGTTATGTGTTTATATCTTAGTTTATTCATGTTATTATCATTAGTCGGTATATACAGGCCTAGATTGATTGTTATTCAGGCTGTTAAAAGCTGCCTCATTTATTCTTCTGATTTACTTTATATTCCGTATATTTTTTCGCAATAACATTAATAATTAGTTTACATTTATTTATTTCCTATCGCCTCATATATACTGAATGCCAACTTGCAGAGAAACAGGCCTCTAACTTTTTGAATTTCTAGTTGTGTTTATTGTTCCTGTAAAATTTCGGGCCATATGCCACATTTCGTTGTATTTTACACTTGAGGGTTCATTACAGTGGTTCCGTTTCGGTTAAATCATTTTTGTTATGTTGAATTTTAAAGGAAGATTATTGAAAATAGATTTTATTATTTAAGTTAAGTATTTTAGTTTAGCAGCAATATCTGAGGCCTTTGTTCCATCGTATAAAATCGGTTAAGGAGAAAACAACAGATTATTTTCTGTCTTTTTGTTTTTAAATAGTATAGGACATTAAAGATTCTATTCAGGCCTGAACATAATTTTTCATTTTGTGAGATTAAATGTTTGGAAATGAGAGGGGGAGGGGGGGATCTGACTTTTTGAGCGTCTTTTTCTCCTCAGAAGCAGAGCCGTGTCCTGAAACGTAAAAATCTACACTGAAAATACAGGCCAAGATTTTCGTTATGTTATGCAGGGCTAAGGCTATATACTGTATACATATATCATTAATTAGAAAAGATCTTAATTAGTAAAAGCTGTATTTATCGAACCAGAATTTGAAGCCTCGTGGCCTGTGGATTATATTTCAAACGAGATATTCGATGTTTAATGAAGGCCTGTTATTTCGAAAATTATGCAATTTCTCACATTAATGTTCTTTGAATGAATTAAAAACAAAGAAGCAGACGAACTTTTCGTTTTGTTTATCATTAGTGAATTTGTCTGAAGAAGCATCAGAAAGTTGATGAGCACTTCAACCAGGTTTAAGTATATTTTAATATTATGTTTTATTTTTCTTTTGTTAGAGTCCAGACAACAGGCCCACGGCCTTTTTACTTGAAGTAAGATTTGTTGCATCCAGACATGTCTTTACAATATTTTAATTTAAAAGTACATTTTAAAATTAAAATCTTTTTCTGTTGCAGATGTCCAGTGAAAATAAATTAAGTGAAATTGTGAACAGCAAATGTGAAGCTGTTGAGTCTAGGAAGAAATTTGAGAAGCCCAGAAATCTATCCCTCAAACCGTCTCAGTCTCATTTTCTGTGGTACTTATTACTTAGTATTTAGAGCTCATTCAACAGGACAAGACACAGATGGTTTGTTTTCATTTATGCCATTAAATAAGAATTGTAATATTTCCCCCCCAGCAGTGAAATTCAGTGAGGAATTTTGACTATGTAATGATTACTCTGCACTTATTCATGATCGTAGAGGTTTTAAAAGATCTTTTTGGATATCACCAAATAGACTTATGAAAATCCCAGGTTTGCTGTTGCACCTTAGCAATGAAAATTTCAGATCTTCATAAATATCTCATTTCGAAGATGTATAGCCAACATGTTTGGAAAAAAGGAAGAAAACTGAGTCAACATGGATATTACACCTGTTGCCCAAATCATAATGAATACATATCACCTGTTTATTTGTTTACATGGCTTATTTAATTTAATTTGAACATATTAAATAAGAAATGAGAACATCACATTTTGCTCTGAACCTAAACGCGCTATGCATCCTCAGTCATTCTCCATGTCCTATGAGACTATCATGGGCCTCGGGGCAACTTGTTAGAAAATAGAGCTCACATGGTTGCATCAGTCCCTGCGCTAACCTGCCATGTGACTGCAGTAATGGGCCTCTCCATAGCTGCACAGACCACTGTGTCACAAGAGCCCGTTTCCTGCGGCTTCTGGTTGGGAAAGGGGAGAGGATAGGAGGACGAAGTCTCATGATCAGTGGCGAGATCAACAACAAAGATCATGCATCAGCAGGAGGTCAAAGAGTCAGGCCTTCAGGTGCACACTAAGACACAGGCAGCCCCCTTTTATTCCCCCACGTGAGATCTGGATGAAACTGGGATGCCTCAGGGCGGTGTGTTCGGGGTAGATGAATTCATTTCTGGATATATTTTGTAATAGATAGAAAATAAGGGGATCAGACATGGGGGGGAGGACAGAGAAAGAAAGACAAAAAGAGAAATAGAAAAGAAAGAGAATGACCTCTTGCTTTGGCCTCGATACTTGAACAACTCCCAGGGGAAATTCTTGAAATCTGACAGCGGAGAGAAAAAGTCAAAAAGAGAGAAAAACAGAGAGATAGTGAGTGTGTGTGTGAGAGGGAGAGAGTGTGAGAGGGATGCAGATAAGGGAAGCATGCGCAGCGGTCAAATATTCACATGCTGGGTCACATTCTGCATTAAACTGATGTATAATTGGTGGAAAGCATTCATTCCCATGTCAATAGGCACATTGGGCCTGAAATGAATGGCGTCATTTGTTCGGAATGATGACGACCCCAACAAAATGAGCCAAAATTATATGTCAGAAATTGCAAAAGACTGGTACAGAGGCATACTTTTCTTGAATTCATCACAGCACGTCCCTGCTGCATGAGGCTGAAGAGGCCTGTTTAGAAAAATGATTTTATCTGCAGCTCCAAGGCCTTTTCTCATGCTCTGCAGCGTTTTCTCTGCGTTTCCTCTGTTCAGAAATGAAATTTGCGCTCAGGCTTTGTGCAAAAAGCAGTCGAGGTCAGTGGCTCTCGCTCGGGGAATTCCAGCTCCGACTCTAGACTATCAATAATTATGACCCTCATGTGACTCAAATATTTTGACTTTCACGCTGAGCTGTACGTCTCATCAACAATTCTTCCTCCGGCTAATGTCTGAGA